ACGCCTCAGTCCTCACCTTCCTGGTGGTGGCGGTGATGGTGACGATGGTGCTGCTGCTGCTGCTGCTGAAGCAACATCTTCACGTCGCCGTTCTCCTCGCAACCGGTCGCGCTCAGACCCACGCCGCCGCCTGCTCCGTCTCCCCCTCTTTCCGCCACCGGCAAGGGCCCGAGTTTCCTCTTCTCCTTGTCTCGCTTCTCTTTGGGCCTCTTGGTCTTGCTGCTGCTGCTGTTGCTGCTTCCGCCGCCGCCGCCGCCGCTCTTGCTGCCGCCTCCCTCGGCGCTGACGGCCAAGCGGTGGTGGGCATGAGAAGAGGGCGGCGGCAAGAGCAACTTGTGGGGCAAGTGAGGCGGGAAAACAAATGACCCGCCGCCAGCCGTGGTGTTGCCGCCGCAGGCTCCGGAAGAAAACGCCGTGAGGCTCCACACGGCGGGGCTCCCGTGACCCACCGAGGCAGGCGCCAATGGGATGTGCGGCGGCGGCGGCGGTTGTGGCGGCGGCGGCTGTTGCTGCTTCTTATTGCTACCGCCGCCCTCTCCGTTAACGCGCTTCGAGCCTTTGAGGCCGCGCTCTTCTGCCTTCAAGCGCTTGGGAGCCGGCTGGAATCCGCGCGGAGAGGCCCTGGTGTCCACGGCTAGATTCGAAGGGAAGGGCTCCTGCAGGGGTAGCGGCGCCACCGTCGCGCCTCGTACGGGACTAGGAGGCTCCGCCATTTTGAGATCCTGCTTCTATTTACCTCTCGGCGCTAGTCGCTTGAGAGAGCCGCGATGGTCGCGGGTGGAGGGAGGGAGGGAGGGAGGCGGGGCGCTGCTAACCAGCGCGACTTTGTCTCTCCCAATAGAAACGAGGCCAGGAAAGGAGAGACAGCAGGAGCCGCCAATGGATAAGCAAGGCCTGAAAAGGGAACTGGGTCATCGCGGGCTGGCCGTTTTTCCCCTCAGCAGCGACCGCGAGTGGCGCAGTTGAAGAGGCGAAGGCGGACGTCTGTGGTGGTTTGTTCGGCTGAGGGAAGGCGGGAGAAAGCGGCGACCCTTGAAAGGCGCCTGACTAGCTAGAAGACGTGGATCGGGGACGAACGGAGGTGGTCTGGAGAGAGAGAAGGTTGTATGTCTTCACCAGAAGTTGCAACGGATTTGATTTCTTCCTTCGTGATGACTAGGTTGCTTTCGGATCGTTAGTAGGTTACGTCGTTGCCCATTTAGTAAATTCCGGAGCAATCCTAAACAGAGCTCAGCTCTCCTCTGATTATACTTTGAATGTGAAATACAGTATGTGGCAAGCAGGATTGGCCGGCCTTGGATGAGTTAGATCGGTGGTTCTTAACCTGTGACCTGATGATGTCCTCCTCACAGGGGTCCACAAAGGCTTGAAGAAATTGTTATAGTCTTTTGAAGTTAAAGTAGAAAAAAAATGAAAGAAAGAAAACGAAATCTTAAATTTCCCTTGCTTGTTTGTGTAAAACTTGGCTTTTCTAACCTACCACCTCTATTTTTAAAAAAAAAGTTTAAAATTTCATTATGAAAATAACCTTGGTAATGTAACTGTTTCTTCTGCACGTGGTGAGAACATGCAAATGAATGATACTGAGTGGCTGAGAGACAGCATGTGACATTTCTTCCTACTGTCCAGACAGAACTGAGAGTTGGAGTCAATCAGGTCAGTGCGAGTGTTGAGATGGATTTTGTGATCATGTTTCTTCGATTTCTGCTAATAAAACCGTTTGGTTATTGTTGGGCAAGGTTACTTTCAATATTATTGCAGTGAATTTTGGTAACAATACATTTTGGCTGGGCCTCAGAATGGATCACTGGCTGAATTTGAAACAAAAGAACTGATGTAGATGAGGGAGCATCCTGTTCAAAGTAAAATTAAGCTTCCTGTCATCTTAAAAAGTGTCACTATTATAGCAATGAAAATGCAGTGAGGGCCTCATTTGAAGTTTCTCAGCTAATAGGAAAAAAAACAGAAAACCAACTGCAATAGCTGAAGAAATTTTATTACCTGCTACAAAAATCATGGTTTCTGCATTGGTCAATAAGAAAGCTGCCAAGGACCTTTCTTTAGTACCTTTGCCAAATCATACAGTTAAGAAGTGAATCAACAGTTTTCCAGCCAAATCGGGGGAAAATTATTAGAATTTGCATGTCCCTCTACTTTGCACTGCTATTGGATGAAAGCACAGACATAACAGAAAACAACCCTATTGTGCTATGTTAGATAAGAGCATGAGAGAAGTGTTTTCAAAAACATGCTGTTCATGCTCTCCTTGGTATACACCGCAGCTGAAGAAGCATTTAACAGCTTAAACAAGTTTATAACATCTCATGACATGGATTGATTGAAATGCATTAGAATTAGCAGAGACAAAGCAGGAGCAAAGTCTGTGTAGGATGGATAAAGGAAATCATGCTGTCAGTGACTTGGTGCCATTGCTGCATAGATAAGGAAACTACGGTAGTTGCTAAGAAGATAACAGAAAAACTAAAGCAGACCTTGAATCAGTCACAATTGTCAATTTTATAAAAAGAAAATAACTGAATTCAAGAATTTAAACAGCTTTGCAAAGATATGGACAGTGAACACCAACTTTTGCTACACTATGAAGTTTGTTTGCTATCACGAGGTAAAGTTTTTTTCTCATTTTTGGGAATTGAGAGACAAGATAAGATTATTCTTCATGGGAAAGAAATTTCACCTCAGAGATTGTTTGACAGATTTTTCCTGATTAATCATATTAGCCCATCTGTCAGATATCTTCACTTATTTAAATATGTTCCACTTAAATCTTCAAGGAGATTGAAGTTAAAGAGAAGGTAGAAGAAAGTTTGAAAAAGTTGGAATTGTGGCATTGCCTATTGAACCAAAACTAAGACATTTTCAAACCTCACAAATTTTCTTGGTTCCAGTGACAAAGATTTGTCTGAGGAGGACTCATCACAGCACAACATTTGGGAGAGGCGGGGCTTTGTTGCGGTGCTGCCAGTAGCTCCAGAGAAGACCTCTCTCTGGAAAAACTGGAACTGTCCAGTCCGGGATCCCCTTTTTGAAATGGGGATCGAAGGAGAGTCTAGGAGAAGTCTCTCTGAAGGAGATGGTGAGCAGCAGAAGGAGAAGAATGGGAGGCAAACCCGGACTTCTTCCCAGCACGGAGTAGAGCGGGAGCCCTATTTGGCACGGAGCCGTGAGTAACCCTTTACCGGGGGAGAGAACAACCAACATAAGCTTAAAATATATAACAACTAAGTAAGCTAAAGCCTTTGATTTATGAAACCGCCCCATTAAGCTGAAAATAAGAATGAAAATATTTGGATGAAAGAAGCAAAGCAGCGGCGAACCTATCTTATTAGTCTGCTTCAAAAGTGAAACGAACTCTCCTCCCCAAGTGAACTCTTACTATAGCAGGCCGATTTCAAAGCCGAGAGAGAGACGGAAAAATAAATCTTATGTTTCTGGAAAAGAATCCCAGACGGTAATGCCATCGGACAGGATTGAAGAGACTTGAGTTTTGTGAATGCAGTTTGGCTGGGGCAGGGTTCTCTTTGCCTTTTCCTGGACTCTGTGAACTGTTAATAACAGTATCTAGTGGTTTTCTGGAGAAGAAGGAAGGAGCTGACGTGGTCGACTGGACTGAGGGGTTAATGGAAAGTTCATAAGACGGGCTTCAAGGACTACTGGATAGTTTGAGACTCTGTGATTGTTGTTTTGTTTGTCGGACTGCGTGTGAGTCTGATAATAGTAGCTTGCTAAACTCTGGAGAAGAAGAAATAATTGTGCCACCGTTCTATTGGATTTTGAATTTTCTGGGTTAAAAGTTGATTTTTATATTATAATATTTGGAAAAGATTGGAGGGAGATCTAAGGGGAGGTTTACGATTAGGGGTTTGGATTGCTGATAAAATTGTGGAAACTGTTGAAGGATATATAAGGGGCGATCATTGTGGTTAAAGGCATAGCATTATCTGTACAAACCCCATTCATTGGAAAGCCTGAGATGGCCTCCAAAAATTTAAGACAACAAATGGAGACTTGGTCTGTTCAATCCCAAAGTTTTGGAACAGTGGTACAAGAAATAGAAAAGGAATGGCAGATTATTATGCAAAAGACAATAATAACAGGGTTTCAGCAAGTGAATGAAGGTCTTAGCAGAATAGAAGATCTGATGAAAGTAATGAAAGGGGGGACATTAGATGCCAAACAAAACTTAAATGAAGCTGCACAAACTTTAGAACCGTCTTTATTGGGCATGACACCAGGTAACATAGATGGGATAGAGGGTTATCCAGTGACCTATGCAGCTTCCAAAATTAAAAAGAATTATGTTAAAAATCTCAAGAAAGCAGAGATACTGAAACAAGAGAATCTTATTGTGAAAATATGGGAAGTGACAAAAATGGATATTCTGTCAGATGGGTTGAAAGACTGTTGAATTCAAAAGGAAACTGAACGATGGGATGTATTGTATAAAATGGCGCAGTTATCAGATAGTGTTGGAGGAACATAGAATTAAACTAAAATTAAATGATAAGATGAAAGCAGGAGGGTAGTCAAACTGAAAAAGCAGAAAGTTGATTTGATATTGTAATAGAGCATACATTGAAATGAGAACTTAAATCTGGAAGGCAGAAAATAGTAAAAAGAGTAATCTGGAATTTTGATATGGCAATATGTATAGAATGGATGTTAGTATGTTGTTTCTCCTTTTCCCTTTTAACCTCAAATTCCCTTTTTCCTTTTTGTCACCCCTTGTTAAAAATAAAAAGTTTTTAAAAAAAACTTACAGCACAACATTTGGAAAAATTGCAGCATAGTTTCTGTGAATATTTTCCTGTTCCTGATTCAAGCAAAAAGTGGATTAGAGATCCATTTTCAATTAATGTGTATGAACTAGAGGGGCTCACAGCAGCAGAAGAGGACAAGCTCATAGAAATATCCACAGATTGTGCTCTGAAACTCAGTTCAAGGAACAGTCCCTTCCAAATTTCTGAGCTCACCTACAAGCAGACTGTAGTGAACAGCCCTGACCTTACCTGCCCGTCACCGTGGAACATTGACGCAGGAGCCAATGAGTGAACGGAAGGCAGAGCCAGGCGCAAGGGAGCAGGATAAAAAGAGAGAGTCTGAGAGAGGCTGTGTGTGGCTTAAAAGTAGTGAAGAGTGAGTTAGAGAACTTTAAGAGTGGAAATTGAAGCTGTTGTGTATAGAGATCAACTCCACCGCGGTTCCTTCCAGGTTTTAGTAGTAACCTTAGGACAACGGTTGTAGAGGCTAACTTTCCCTCCCCCAATTAGTACAGACGCTGGGCAGTTAGCCAATAGAGTAGGGAGGGTTGGAAACCTCCAAATGAGGGGTGGGGTTTTTTATACATATATGTGTGTGTGTGTGTATGTATGTCTTCTGTCTTCAGTAAATGAAGTGGAATTACTACTGTGTCGTGGCTCTTATTTGTTGTGAAACTCTATCTAACAAGCAGAGGGTTAAAAGAGTTCTGAAGCAATATTCTAATCAATTCAAATATAAGTGATTTGCAACCTGTAATTTACCCTATGAGTACTTATTGATTATTAGCTTCCCTTGTTAAATAAAAGACTTATGTTTTGACATCACATGTGTCTCAACACTTAATTGATATTAAAGCATTAATATCTGGTGGCAGCGAAGAGGAAGAGCGAGAACCTTGTGAAGACCAGGAGGATAGGGACTAAGAGGTGATTGCGACACAGACGCTCCAGAATTATGAAAGTATTGATGACTTTCGTAATGACATATTTGTTCAAAAAATCATTTTGTACT